AAATTGAAAACAATAAATTTTGTAGAAAAAATATGAAGGAACGTTTTTTCAAAAGAAAAAGTTTGCAGCAATTTAAGGAAAATTTTTTAATATATACACAGTTTATTTAATGGATTTCTTTTTTATACACACATGTATATATGTTAATAGTAAAAATATTATTTATACAGAAAGCATTCTATTGATACATGTATTTGTAAATAAGATATAAATTCATGATTCATATGTACTTTCTGTTTCATTCGAGCACGATTGTAGTCACGTGTGGCTTCATGGTACGTATAGTTGCTTCTTAATTGCTAGTTCACTTGTTCTAATCTCATTTCTATCATTTTAGATATATCAACATTTAAACATTTCGTTTGCCTATGATGACGTAAAGACCATCGTTAGAGGATATTGATGGCGACTCAGATCAAACCTGAGACGGATTGGAATATTTTTTAAAAAATTTTAAATATCGAATCGAATGCGTCTAGACGGGTGTGGGTGTGCGTGTGAGTGTGGGTGTGGGTGTGGGTGCAGGTAATTCTGTTTCGTAGCAAACACCAACACCAACACCCACACCCACCCACAGCCACACCCACACCCAAATGAGCAACAAAAGAAAGCTTACTTATGGATTTACTACAGAAGAAAAATAAAAAAGAAATATATTTGCAGAGGAGCTTTATTCTAAATATATTTTGACGAACATTCTATGTGACATACATTTTGAGGGAAATAGGAAATTTAATAATTTAGTAAATTCGAACGTTCGTATTTACTGGATTTTTCTCTTCGTTCTGTCGTATGTTCTTTATTTTTTTGTTGGTTTTCAAACTGTTTATATACTTTGTTTCTTGATTGATGATGTGAACAGAGTTCATGAAATGTCTCAAACATGATTAAAATGGTGTGTATAATGCTATTATTCATGATTAAATGTATTCATCGAATAAAAATAAAACAAAATGATTCACTATATTTTACACAGCATAATGTGGACATTCGATCCATATTCATCCCGAAAAGCACATGAGTTTGAACAGTTTGCCTTGAGGTACCATCATCCTTTGTAAATGATCACCTGCGGGAAGAGACCTGAAAAAATTTCGTTTAAGCTTTGTTCAATACGAGTACTCCTAGTGGAGGTATCATTTTCATCTCTTGTATCATAAACATATGGAAATGCCTTAACTCTGAGTTCAGTCTCATTGATAGTAGATTGAGGATGTTTCGATAATTTCATAATATTAAATCCATCCTCACCATCCAATCTCGCATAAAAAATATTGTGTACTCTAACATCACCACTGGGATATTCTTTCCATCTGTGAACCACAAAGAAATCGTCGAAATAAGCAGTTGTCAACTCTTGCAGAGTATGTTCTACTAATTCACTCATTGTGTTTTGGACACGAGCCTTGATGAGACCCGAAATTGCTTGAATTATTCAACAAAGAATACAATTAATACGTTCGTTCGATGTTTTCCTGTAAAACTAGTTGATTCTCTCCTGGAAAGAGGCGATGTTAAGAATATATATTCAGTTATAGCAAGGATGGAATATACCATTGTTTAATTAAATGTTACTCAATCAAAAAATATTCACTGATATGATGGAAAAAACCAAGAGAAAACATCAGTCATACACCTATGTGAATATACGAGTTTTGTAATAACAAAGAATACAACACACACAATGATGTGAGTGAGTTTATTCTCCTGAATAGACTTGAGAATAGAAGATATGACAAGAGAATTCGGGACGGGTGTGGCCACACCCGAGCCATTAAAAAAGTGGCCTGTTTCGGACCCTGATACGTAGAAAGGGCAGACCATAAGGAACAAAGACTCATACGCCAAGTGCATTGGAGTTTTCGATGTTTTGAAAAAGTATGGATCTCATCACCTCGTTCACTGTAAGAGTTCTATAAAAGGGCTAAAACTTGTAATAATATTATCTTTTAAACAGAACTTTGAAAGGCCGTAATTTTTATATTGCAGGCACAACTCGCTGAGCACTACAAGATAAGATATAAATAAGAGATTTTTAAGATTTGATGTGCAATAGTGTTTGAAATTCGATGGAAATATTCCAATCACTTTTTAGCATCTCATTCAAATATTTTACAAGGAATGGATCGATTCATAATCCAGGTCCAATTGTTGAGAAAATGATGAAACTCCTACGTCAACGTAGGATTTATCGTGTTTATGTTTCTTATACTGTCAGTATCTGGTAACTTGTAACATTTGCTCTCGACGATTACTAGTAGATACTGGATGCATATGTCGTCGTGCACCGTGTCGATAGTTAAAAGCAATGTCTTTCACATCCTTGTTCATATAGAATAGCATCACCATCATAAGAGTGATAAAAAGTGATATTGAATTGAGACTCAATAAATAAAATGATTCCGGAGGTGGACTTTTAGGTTGCATAACTTGCCAAAGATAAAGTATCAAAAGAGGTGTTCCGGCAGCTGTGAAAAGCGTTTCTATAATCAACATATTTCGGGCAAGTTTCATTTCACGTCTAGCATTGGGTATATGAGCAGTCATAGTATTGGATGTTGACGGAGCAATTCGTTGAGATGACGTACGAGCATAATAGAAAATAATACCATAAATATTCATGGAAATACTCAGTGGAATAACAAATGCAGTGGTTATACCATACATGAATATCAGGGAATTTTTGGAGGTAAGGTGACAAAAACGCGATTCTTTTTCGTATACGAAACTACCATCAAAGAAAAATGGTACGATCGAGAACAAAATGCTAATAATCCAGTTCAAAGCAATCAAATACCAATGAGCACGATAAGTAGTGAGATATCTATGTTTGGAGAGAACAGTAAAAAAGAGACGACTGACAGCTTGAGTAAGATACGAGTAGCTAATAGATGCACATGTCGTGAGAAAACAGAATGCTCGAATAACACATCCTGGTTGTTTAAGTGCCCAATCTTCGTGAAAACCATAGATAGATGAGATGATATTGCAGATTGAATAGGCTGCAATGAGCACACTTACATTACAAGTGGGAAGATTAGCGACTGTACGACATGGTCGATGAGTAGCAATGATAACAATCATGATAAGACTGAACATCAAACCAACAGTCGACACCATAATTGAAAATGAGAAATCGATAGTGTAAAATAACTCAGTAAGCATGTATGCGACTAAAGCCGTTTTAACAGAATGCTGTAAGAAATGCAGCAACTACTAATATGATGTTTTTTTTTTTACTTGCATATTTTCATCTTTGACGAGACAAATACAACATGATGACAGTCATACATCTGAATACCCATCCTCTTTTCAAATTGTCATGGGTGTCTCGTCATGCGTTTGACAACAACACAGCCTATTAGTAACGGCTCTCTAACTGAGAATGAAACGATCTGAGTTGACTGGCTGTTCAACCGTAAACAGACAACATTTTTTCTAGCTATCCAAACACATGAAGAAATGAAAAGAGAACAAACAGTCGATACGAAACAAAAACAACTGTGCTTAGTACATGAAGTTCCACTGTATAAGAACACTTTGATCATGGACCATAGGCATGATTCAACTTGTTCAAGCACCATAATTTCGGGACGATTGAAATGATAATAGTGGCTTTCATAAACATTTTTCTTTATTCTACGTTTCAGCTGTCTAACCAACCATTGACAAGAGAAAGCGTGTACTAGTAACTAGGAGGCATTGCGGGTAAGCCACAACCAGCTGCAGCAGAACCTTGCTCAATTGATGTTACCGATTCAACTGATGTTTTTACAGTATGTAGGTACATCTGAGTTAGGAATAAACGAAAAGTTTCAGCTCAAACGGATGAGCCATTTCGGAGATATAGACGATACAAGTAGGGTATGGGTGTGGGTGCGAGTATGGGTGAAGAGAACAGTAACACGCAAACTCAGCCTTACACCCTTATTGGAAAATTGTGACTGAACGTGCTCGAATAAAACTTGATGATGCATTACGAGAAAATCAAGAAGTATTTTGCTAAAAAAAAAAGAAATCATACATAAACAATTATTTCTTTTTATAGCTTCATGCATTATATAATGAAATAGCTAGAGAATATGAACAATTACAAGAAGAAACCGAACATAGTGTATATTTAAAAAACAAGTAACGCGACGCAAGCGCCGCTAACCCTCTACTGAAAGGATGTCATTTCCTTGAGCATATGGTACTCACG